GGTCAGATCGTGTAGGATTTCCTTCTTTTCGAATAGGGTCCCATGGAACAGAAGAGCAAGGAATGAAGACCGAAATTGCCTGCTTTGCGTATTCGAGCGTTGATGATCTGGCGTTAATAGACTTGGCGTTTTCGCTGGGATCTGGCTCCCCGAATGCTCGAAAAATCATCCATCTACACACAGCTTCGGGGGAGATCTTGAGCAGGGTCTCGCTGTCAAATGAAGCATCGCTAGCGTAGCTCCGGTCATCGGTGAACGACATGAACTCTACCAAGATGGCGTTGTATCGCTTTGGGTGCATGCTGAGAGCTGGGAGCTCCTTTGAATTTCTGCGTTCTCTTGAGGGGCACGATGTCTTTCTAAAACTGATACAGAATGTCACACAGGGATTCAGTATGAGCTAGGTTGAATTTCAAGCAAACAAATACTACGCTACGTGCTACCATTGTTGAGGCAGGTACCGATGCAGCTGCGTAGTACCAACCCTCTCCGTCGTCGATACAGTGTATCTGGGAAGCTATTAACCAATCAGAGCATCCAATTGTGCAGAAATACAACGTCGGTTGTAGATGGCCGGTAATGTATCGATATTTTGGAGCTATAGCCCCACAGCACAAATTAGATTTAGGTTCCAAGCTGAAAAGTTCCAAATCTCCATTTTTTATCTTTTACAGGAACGTCCCAAATCTGAGAAGCCGTTAAATCGCTCGCTTACAAGAGCTCTGGGCGTCCCCTACGCGGACGCTTTTAGTATTGTACTGGCCTAATGAAATGCACCACGAAAATTTTCTAATGGACATTACAAAAAATCTGGTTACCGTATGAAAATTCTGAGCACAGTTTTGAAATCGTCCGACCGTGGACTGCGTATTTTACCACTAGGCAGAGCCTCACTATCACATTAAACTTCCATATGAGGCATCTAACCGCGTTCGAGAAACTGCACATCATCCATGCACACGAATATTTTTTGGAGGAAGCTCGCAACCGACGGACCCCGAGAAGCGAGCTGTACGCCAGCGTGCAGCTGCGCGCCTAGCGGTCACGGAGGATATGGTCAAACGCACTGTAACGCACTGGAACCAGCACCACGACGAAAGTTTCACACCTGGGCGCGAAGCGCGTGGGTGTGCGCTAAGGTCGGAGGCGGAACACCTTCACGGTATTATATCCGGTGTTATAAATGACCGTAATTTATTGAAGATGCCAGTTACCTCTAATATCTAGGTTGCAGAAATGAAAAACTGACAGGTACGATTATTGTGCCTCATACAATACGCGAAGAACTACAACGGATGGAAGTAAGCTATATCCATGGTCGAACCAGAGATCCAAGAGCTGATTCGGAAGGTAACATCGCGTTTAGGAAATCTTACTTGCAAAAAAAGTTTCAAACTCAAATGCTCGTAAGTATCCTAAAATTCCAGAAAGTTTCTTAGATGAAAGTTTTTGTAATGTTAACCACACGTTGTGGGTTCAACATGGTTGCTCAAGAATTCGGCGCGGTATTCATCTAGTGGGAGGGGCCAGCGGTTTTGTATAGTGGGAGCTGGGGCCGTCCTAGTGAAGAATGGACAATTACACGCAGAATGGGTGCCTGATTCGGTAGAGTTTTGGCCATCTCATTACAAGAGCATATATACTGACTATCACGGCAATTTTAACGGTACACTGCTCCTAAAGTGGTTTGAAAGAATATGTGTTGTACTAGAATTGGTATATGGCCCGTGCCGTATACATATGGACGGGGCCGCTTACGACAAAGTCCAAATCAACACACCACCATCAAGAACTGCCTTAAAAGCGGAACTGAAGAGTTGGCTTCGTAAACAAGGTTACTGTGCACCCGCTGACTACACAAGAAAACAATTACATGCTGTAATTGCACAGGTAAGTTATTTTAAATTCCATATGCTATTTATCTTATGAAATAGTTTTCAACAAAATATTGTTTTGTGTTATTTATGACACGAAGTCGGTGAAAACTTTTCGTGTAGGAGATGTATAGCGTAGCCAGAATCGGAAGGTCAACCAGGATCTAGGGACCTCCAGAATTCGGAGAAACAGGATGACAAGTCACCCAGAATGGATGTGTGTCCTTGTGTTATCCCTGTCGGTTCGATGATTCGGCGGAACAGTTATGTCACCGGGGAGTTGTCCAGGATAAATATATTGCAGGATGTGGAGTGTTACCGACCATTCAGGATCGGGCACTGGTCACAACTGGGGAGAGGTTAGTAGAACACGAGGGGAGTTCTCAACCTAGACTAACCTAAATATGCAGAGTTCAATAAACGTCACTGATATGTAACCGTTCGTATTCTTTCGGACCCTAGAACGGGGGGTCTTCTCACCAGTCGCACTTAGAGCGACACACCCAGGATACTGGTCAATCCTGGATGCATTCTTTACTCACGCGCACCACCCTGAAACCAGGGACTTCTTATCAATCAAATACACTTTCTTTCACTTCTTAGCAATTCTCAATACAAAATCCAGGGGTGATCGCTAGCAAACCTCCTGAATCGCAGTCGTTAATACGAAATGCGGGTACTTACTTACGCGAATACCCTGCAACTGGATTATGGAATAGTCAGGAACAACCCAAGCCGCACGATCGGTCTTGATCCCCTGCTAACTGGAACTTGAAACTTGTTGAGAGTCTACACAACGTACTCGTGTGTCGTTGTGGCCTTAGAGGTCCTCAGCTCGGGCTCCTCAGCGCGTTCAGTAAGGCAGATTATCCTCACTTAACTCTTCCACGGCAAATTGAACTCTATCTAAATCTTAACGTCTTACGGTCTTCTGTCTTCTTGAGGTCTTCTTCTTGGTTCCTCTTGTACACTCATCAATGATGACGATGCTTGCACATCCTGAATTCTTGCGTTTCGTATGGGGAGGTTAGATACATTACATGTTGATGATTCCTGCAGACCTTGCGTGTCAGTCGATGTCACCACATCGCGACAAACTGATTTATGTGGGTACACACATCCAGGGCGGCTTCACCCTGGATGGCCTGCACGTGTGGTGGAGCGGGATCAGCAAAATCTGCGAAGATGTTGGATCCGACTTACCACTGTGCCCAGGACACCGACTAAAGGAGGGGGTACTCCTATGATCCGTGATCAGCTGAACTTCCTCACCTTGTGTACCCATCGGTAGGGCTGGATCGGCTCCTCCGGTAACTGCAGGAGATTGTGCAAGTGAATGAAGATCGGGCGTTTGGGATGTGATCAGCAGCGCGGAAGTCTTCGCTCTGCTGTCGGTAGTGGGGATCCGGGGTCTGCACGAATGTTCGAGTGCAGATCGCCGGTGGCCGGATCTTGATCCGGGCCGTGTTGGGTTGCCTTGGTGTGTCGTCCTTGAGGCCTTTGTGGTTGATGATCTTGCGATCCCTTTGCTTGCTTGCAATCACCAATGACTGGATCTTGAGTTGTAGTTGAGAGATCGAAGGATCGATGACCAAGCAATAAATGTCGAAGATCCGAAGTTTGCACGTATAAAGTAAGTCCCTAGTCGGATCTGGCCAATATATTATCCAGTTATCCAAACTAACGCTAGATCCTATACTCTTAACTCGCGGATCGTCTTGTGGGATAGATATAATAACCCGATCCGAAGTGTCCGTAATACACTAAGTGTGGATCAAATAACGAAACCAGCCACTTGTGCCCAATGATGCAAATTCGATTCTCTCTTATTCCTAAATTCTATATCATAGCCTGTCGTACCTTTACCACGCAGGATCCGCATATCTGATTACTGCTTCTGTGGGGGCAGCTGCTATATTTCAGGATCTGCGCGTAATCATCCAGTGTCGACAATCCACTGTCGGATCCGCAGGATCCGAATCCTCGCTTGACGTTCTTGATCGTCACCCAAACCTTGTGATCCGCACTCTCCAGAGGTCCCTTAATACATGTATGCCCAGGATCCGGTATGATCCTGAAGTTTCACTGCGGATCCGGCTCCACGTACCCACAAACGTTACGTGTACCCACACAATTTCCCCACCTGCGGATCCGGGCCTTCCCATTCCGGATCCTCGATAACGTAACGATGTCCATATCTCCCAGATACATATCCACGTATATCTAGGGTCACCACTAGCTGTCAACTCCATGCAGACTCCGGATCGTTCAGATCCGGATTTGTAGACATTAGTCCGGATAATTCCCCGGTTGCCTTTCAGTCAATCAATCACTTGGTCTTATTCACGTGAAATTCTTGATCCACTTCACCACAATCGCCTCCTGTCCGCCGTTGTTGCTGCACAACAGTATCACGGCCGACATCACTTCACTTCTCCACTTCGGATTTCAGCCACTCATGTCGCACCGTGTCCCATTCCGCCCCAGACACTCCCTCTGGGTCGCAGCACGACGATCCACCCCAGTTGCCTTACACCGAGGACGACACGCTAGAGGATCTGCAGCGGATCTCGGTGGAACTCTTTCGACGCACTGGTAAGCTCCAAGCCCGTTTAGCTGCTGATACCGCTATGGATGCCAACGAGGAGCTCGTCGCTGCTGAGAATTTTCGCGCCTTGCAAGATTATTTTCATGAGCAAGACAGACTTGGCAAAACCTTCGGGATATATAACCAGACCGAGTCACCTGCTTCGAACCCAGACTTGAGATGCTCCGATAGTACCTTCCACTTCTGAGTCTGAACCGCGGATCATGTACGCTTGGCCCTCTTCTGGAGCTCCTCTGCGCAGGCGTGGGCATAGCTGTAATCTCGTTGCAATTTTCGACGCCATTCGTACGCGGTACGTTCTGTGACATCCGTCGGTTTAGGGCCCAGCATAGCTGCTATAGTACTCCGACAATAAAACCCGTGTAGCAAGTAGAACGGTGTATCCAATCTAGCCGCATCAAAGAGGTATTTATAGCATGCATAAGCTTCTCTGCATCGTCGTCCTAGTCGGTTTGGTCGGGCTCTTCGACATACGCTCTGATACTGTGCATAATTATCTGCCCCGATCGTTCCTGTTGGCCATTGGCCTGACGGCGATACGCGAGCGTTGCTTTCTGTTGGATACCCATCATCTCACTGAAACGACGGAATACCCGACTCATGAAGCGGGGATCTCTGTCATGGCGGATTTCAGAGCTTGCGCCATAGTTCCTGAACACAACCTCTTCGAAGGCTTCAGCACAGTCTTGGGCGGTAGTGCTACTCATGGGTTTACACATAACGTAGCCAGTGAACATATCCTGAAACAAAAGTAGGAACGTATTCCCACGTTCCGACTTCGGGAGGTGTGTGATGAAATCCATAGACACCACTTCGAATGAACCAGTCGGTTCAATATTCCCGGGAGAGGGTCCTGGATTCGGAGGTCGCCCCTTAGCGGACGCGCAATCCGTGCATTCCTTGACAAATATTTCGACGTCCTGGAACATCCCGATCCAGAAGAACTCTGAACGCAGACGTTCATATGCCCTGGTGATGCCTTGATGGCCATTCTGGAAATCTTCGTTAGCGTGGTGTAGGATGTACGGTCGTAAGGCTTCCGGTACAACCAGTCGAAGTTCAGAACGCTTCTCCCTAGGACGTTCCGGAGTAGGCGCAGCCAAATGATAGAGGACGTCTCTTGAGTCTAAAACATATCGCTCTGAACCCTTCGCGATTTTCTGACTTCTTTCCGCGTATAGTTCAACAGATCACCTTTCAAATAATCCTTGAGCCTTTTTAGCTCTGGATCCTCATCCTGATGGATTTTAATCCGTCTCCAACGTTCGTCTTGATAATCAAATGGCCGACTCGGGTCATCCGCTTGGACAACTTGTCTGGAACGACTTCGGGTTGTAACTATCTTCACGGGTGTTACTGTCTCAGACGCGTTTGAGACGGGGTCTGAAACGGGGCCTCTTGGGCGATCACTCTTCAGACTCTGACATGCGCCGTCTTTTCGTTACGAGGTTTATGGAGTCTTCATAATTTTCTCCGGGATCCTGGAGACAAATTTCAGATGCATCAATTTATCCGTGTCTTCCACCACCCATGCTTTCCCGAATGCCAATGTCTTCGTCGTCAGGTAGTCTGCTGCCTGGTTATAATCACGTTTGACGTGGATCAACCGTACGGAGGCAAATTTCACTTTCAAAGCTTCATACTCAGCAAGTCAACGTTGCAGATTAGGCTGGTGGCAACCTATCAGCCCTTGCGCTTGTTGGATTACGATTCTGGAATCGCCGACTACAACCACATCTCTGAAACCGCGGTCAATGGCTAGCTCCAAACTTTTGATCAACCCGTGAGACTCTGCATCGTTCACGGTCACACCATCCAAAGGGAATCCGTAGGCGCTCAGGACATACCAGCCGGGTAGACGGCACAGAATACATCCACAACTTCCCTGTCTAGTGGAGACCTTGGTTGCACCATCGAAGCTCAAAACGTACCCTTCGAAGTCTGAATCCTACATCTCTACACTGATTGGTGGAGGTGTTTTGATTCGCCCTTTAGCCGGGATCAGATTTTCGGCAACTTCGTCTAAGTGCTCCCTGGGGGTAATACCTGCACCGAGGATTGCAGTTAATCCATCTTCATCGCGCTGCACACGGCGTAGTTCTAGAGCCCACTTCGATAATTCTAAACCCCACTTGAGGTGACGGCCGTCGGCGGATTTTACTTCAATAGCCACTTCAGGATCGAATACCGGGTATAGATTATGATTGGTGTCTCTGAACCGTATATGAGCGGACGGAATTGCTCTAAGACTTGCAGGATCGCCAACACCTCCTTCTCCGCGATGTGGTATCTGAGTTCAGACTCGTTCAGAGCCCGCCCTGAAAAGCGCACAGGTTAGATGATCCCCTCTTGTTCCCGTCCGAGGACGGCACAAGCCGCCCAGGGGGTTGCATTTGGGATGATGACAAACGGCTTGGTACAAGCTAGATGGCGCACCAGCAGCGTTGATGTGATCTTACGTTTCAGAATCTCGAACGCTTCTTTGGCCTTATCCAAATCATGTCCGGTACGAATGCGATCCTCATCCAGCTCGTAAAGCACTGCCGCGACGACAGGTAAATCCTCGATAAACTTGTTGTAGTAATTCAAGCTTCCCAAGAACGACTGAACGCCCTTCATAGTCGATGGGAAAGGTAGGTCTTGAAAACTATTGGCAATCTTCGGGGTAGCCGTGATACCTTCGGCACAGACTTCGTGAGACAGATACGGTATAGCTTGTTTGCTGAACTCGCTCTTCGGAAGACTAACCGAGATATTCCAGTATCGAAGTCGGAATAGCAGGGCATTCAGGTCTTCAAAAAGTTTGTCCCAGGCAGGCGCCCCATGAACTATGTCGTCTATGTAAGAGCTTCGCCCCAGGACTGGTCCCATATGCGTTGGGGTCCGAATGTTTCGCCTGAATGCAGTCGCCTCCTTCATCAACTCTGGAAGTCTGAAACCACCTTCGCCTTGAGGATTTTCGATCGTCGGTCCTGTGTCTGGGACAGTCAACTCCAGAAATTCCAGGACATCTCGGTCGACCTTAGCATCCTCCTCAGGTGGGAGCTGCACGATTCCCCAGGGACAGTTGTTAATCACACTCTGGTACACTAACGGCGGGTTCTTGAATCCAAAAGGCATCCGGATCCACTGGAAATGTCCGAATGGGCAGACAAAGGTCGAAATCAATTTCGCCCGCTCCGTCATCTGAATCCCCCAGAAACCACTCGCCATATCCAGACCCATGAACCATGCCGCAGCGTTAAAGTCAGTCAGCAAGTCGTCAATCAGAGGTAGAGGGTATCGCGATAGCTTGATCAACTGACTAACCAGCCTATAATCAACACACATTCTGATATCCTCTCCATTCTTCTTCTAAACGATCACGATCGGGAATGACCACTCCGATTCAGAATGTTCAATGAGTCCAGTCTCTAGGAGCTTCTTCAGGAGTTCGTAAACCTTTACCAGATATCTGGAGGCGATCTGCCGAGCACGCAGCGCTATCGGCGTCGCATCACCTACGCCCAATTCACAAACAACTCCACGAGCTGGGGCCGGTGCGGCATTACCATCACTTAAAAAGATGCGACGATGATAATTCAAGATCTTCCGCATCTTGTCCTCCATCTCTGGGGTCGTGACGCCTGGTTCACCAACGTCGGCTTTGTCGATGTCACACTCCGGGATCAATTCTTCTAACTCTGGAAACATAGTCAGATGATCACTCAACTGAGCCAAGAGCTCCGTCCCTTCTCGGAGATATACAGCTGGTTCCAGATCTAGATCTTCCACTGTCACTCGCATGACACGTTCGTATTCTCGTTCCATACTTTGGACAGGAGTATCCGAGAGGTCCGAGGCGTCATCCATAGGGTGTGAGAAATCGTCCAATGCGCTTTCAAAGACATTCTCTAGTATGTCTTCCGAATCGAACTCTGGAACGAATCTGAAACGCCGTTCGTTTCTGAGGCGAGATGTTCCAGACCTAACGACGAATGACATTCTGGACCCCTTGCTCTCGAAAAGGTGGCTAGACCTTCACTCAGATCCCCTACGCTCTGGAGTCGCTCTGAATCCCTTGTATTTCCCACAATCGCCCCAGTCCGAGAAGGTTCTGAGTCCTCGCCTCGGACTCCAGGTTTGGCGGGTTGGTCAGAGGCACAGCTACACCGATTCGAAGCGCCATATCCACAAAAGCTTGGGAAATCAACTTGGGTACCAACATATCTAGTGTCCACTGCTCCGGACTCTTCGGCGGATGTCGTCACCGGGACATCTGTCGGGTCTTTCACCTGTAAGGCACTTGCCTCCGGTTTTGGGGTGGCTTCACGTCGCGCAGCGAGGAGAACATCTACACCCTCTGGTCGTTCCTGCAACTGTACCATCCTGACTTCCGCATCCTGAGACTTTGGGCGTACGAGCAGTTTGGTAGGCCATTCGTACTATGGTCGTGGCACCGCGGGAGGGCCACGAAGTCGCATCAACAGCTCAAGGCGCTCAGCACGCATCCGGCCTTGACGCGACTCGGTACTCTCGAGAATAAGCCGTTGCCACTCCTTATACCTGATCTTCCCTGGGCGGATGAATCCTGGCTCCTTCGGGAAGTGACTGTACTCCACAATCCAAGCAAGGGCAGTCCGGGTGTCGATTCAGACGTTTCTATCCGAAACGTTGACCACTCGGACCGCTGTAAGTCCGGGTGTCGATCCAGACATTTCTATCCGAAACGTTGACCACTCGGACCGTCGTAGCCCAGGACCGGACTCCAAACAGGATCTCTGTCACCCATCTCTTTCCTCGTCCGGCCCAGACTACTTCTCGGTGCGGATTGGTCTATCCATACTCAATTTTGACTACCGCAGCTTCGCCCGGATGCAGATATAAACTTTCCTTTGCACAGACTGGCAGTTCCAGTCCTCTCCGCTTCCTCGGGACATCATCGTACATCACGACGTTCTCCTCATCCGGTAGCTTGACTAATCCTTCGCGGATGCACAATCGAACTCCCGCCGAGTACATGAAGTTTATTCCTAGCAATACGTCCACATCTTTACCAATATTTCCGATCCAGACATCTTGAATATAGCCCACTTCCCAACCAAGGATAATCTTGACGCAAACATGCGCGGAGATATACGTCGGGATCCCCCCCAAGCCAGACACCTTGATCTGCGGATGCGTTCGGATTTTGAGACTAAGCCTACGCGCTAGGCCCAGACTCACAATACTCACCGAAGCACCCGTGTCTAGGAGTATCCTCGTTCGCCGATCATTGATCGCCCCACACACAGTCGCGATCTCATACGAATTCTCTGAATCATCATCTTCCCACCATACATATCTCTGGCCCGGGCCTAGTGCAACTTCGACCTGGGCTTCGGCCGGACTCGACCCCAAATCTGGTTTGTTAGAACGCTGGTATTCAGGGTAGAGCTGTTCAGAGTAGATGATCTCGTCTTGAATTAGAGTCATGCATTGTTGGTTATCTTGGTTTTGGTCTTTTCTTCTTCTTCTTTCTGGACCCATACAAACTAGCACACACAGTTTAGGGGGGGTTCTTGAGCCCGTCGCGTACTGGATCCCCATCCAGCGGGCTTATTGGTTTAACTGTTGCTTCGCTTGTCCTGTATCCTTCGTCTGTAGTTGGGCGAGAGTCTGGCTTGGCACTGCGTCATTCAACATGTCCTGGCTCGCCAGATGCTTCACAGTCCTGAACGCTCTCCACTCCGCACATGGAATTCCAGGGTGGATTTCTTCACAGTCTGTACATCGTTTCTTTCGACAGGTTCAGAACAATTCCCACAGACTATGTCTTGCCAGCAATTTTCTTCGGGATGGCCCCACTTCTTGCATTTCTCACAGAACGTGTCCCGGTTTTCCATGCGTTGTTGCTCCGACCACTCCGAAACGCGGTATCCTTCGTACGATTCGTCCGCCATTTCAGGCATCGAGGGGACGTAGTCATCCGGACTATATGCTGGGGTCTCTGGATCCGCCACCCGGGGCTGTTCCTCGACTCCCGGAGTCTGAAACTGGACATGCTTTTCCACAACTGGAGGGTTTCCAGAGTCAACATTCTGAGTAAGGAACGCATGGCCTGGCCGGCGAGGTTTGAGGCCTCCGCGGGTAAGTTGTCGGCTCTGGCGTCTCGTGTCCTCGTCGGCGGCGTCTCATAACCATCTTCTCTCCAGACATCTTCATGGCGTCTGAGTACACGCTCCACTTCAGAGATACTCTGAAACTGATGGCCTTCGAGAGCCGTCTTGAGCTGTACATCCTTGAGCTTCTTGAAAAAGCTGCGGAGGTGCAGTTCACGTCGCTTAGAGCTGGTCTGGAACGGAATTTCCGCCTTCACAGCCACCGCGTTCAGTCTGTAGAAGAACTGCAGCGCCGTCTCTGAGGACCTCACCTTCATAGTGAAGTATCGAACCGCGTAGGATCCAGTAGTGCGACAATACAACTTCTTGAACTTGGTGGATAGTAGTTTCCAATTGTGGCGCGTCGTTAGGCAACTGAGCGTACCAGTCTCTGATCGTAGTAGACATCCGCCTCCGGAACTGGTGGATCTTAATCTTGTCAGGCCAGGAGCCTTGTGCTGCCATGTCGGTGAAACGTTCCCACCAGTTGACTCGGTCTTCCTTTCTTCCAGTGTCATTAAATTTCTCGACCGCATGTAGTTGTTATATGACCAGAAATTCCAAACCGTAGTACCATCCTTGATCGGCTTAGCCGCGGCAGTACCGGAACCATCGTCATTGTCAAGGCCGTCCTCGGAACCGCTTGAGCTAGAGTCACTGTCGTCTCCATCGTCACTACTTGAGTCTGAATCGTCGCCAGGGTGAGAAGGTGGTGACCCCGGGTCCTCTCTAGCCTTGCAGGCCGAAGACGTCTTAAATTCAGGCCTGGTGGAACCCTTCTTTCCCGATCCAGACTTCGTCGATCCAGAGTCTCCGGATTTGAGTTGTCTGAAACTAGACTCGCCGACGTCTGAAACCGTCTGGGTCTTGGGAGCAGATGGAGCTCTTCGCCCAGCCTTGGTATTTTCACTCTTGGTTCATCTTTCACATCTGGCAGTGTAACTCGAAGCTGGTAGAGAGCGACTTAGGTTCTTTGTGACGATGCAACCTGAAATTCAGGTGGCCTCCGCAGCTGCCTTGACTAGAGAGCCGGAACTGGGAATATGGAATGGAGTCCCTGGCCACCGGACATCCTGAATTGCGGGAGTATGTCCCGGATGGATATCACATGCATCCCGAATGGAGATATCACGTGCAACCCGAATGGAATATAACCTGGATGTCGCGCTCGACAATTCAACAGATGACGTGGTGGTCCAAGATGCAAGACGCGACATACGCCAGTGCAGGCAAAGATCGAGCTGCACCAACGTCAGACTACCTGAAAACCATACCGAAGAGGAGATGAGACCCGGGTGAAGAGTCGGCGGATGCTGCCAATTCAAGGAGGACCGTGTGTCAACATTTGATGTGTGTGCCCAAGCTGGTCGATGATGTGACAACCCAAGCATGCAAAGACCAACTCATCCAGGTGGTGTGTAATCACGAGGCAACGGAGACCGAAGAATTCAAACCCCCAGAGATCAAGACACTACAAGAATCTG